GGCCGGGCCGGAGGCACGCGGGAGCCCCGCGCCCTCCCCTCAGCCCGTCCCGGAGGCGCCGCCATGTCCCGCAGCGAAGCGCCGCTCCCCCAAAACCTTCGGGGCAGGCGGAAACTTCAAAACTTTTAAGCCCTGCCTGGCGCTGCCCTTACAACCTGGGCCCGGAGCCTCCAGCAGCCCGCCCCGGCTTCCCCTGCCCTCCCGTCCCGTCCCGTCCGCGGAGCAGCCTCCCCCTCTCCATCCAGGGGAGGGGACCAGCTCAAGGACTTGTGACCCACAAGGGCTGCCACGATGTGTCTCTTCAAGCAAGCCGGGGCAGGTACAAGGAGGTGGACTTGATCAAATGTAAAAACAGCCATCTCAGCCTACTCTCCACTCCTTACTTGGGGCTATGTACTCAATACGTGATATTATTTTACATTTTTAATTCGTAAATATGTGTTTCTGATGAAATCCTAACTCTTGTGCCTGTCCAATTCATTGTTAACAACCTTTACTTGTATAAAGATCTCCTTGGAAAAGGGAACCAAGAAAAAGGAACCAATGTGCAAGGGGAGTGGACCGGATGATCTGTAAGGTCCCTTCCAGCCTCTGAAACTTCAGCCTTGTGCCGGGTACTTCCAGCAAGAATTGGGACTTGGCTCTGTGTAAGCACCTGTGACTGTGCCATGCTGTGTGGAACAGCTGTGGCCAGGGGGGCTTTCCATGTTACTTCCGAACTGACTGTTTGTGTAGGCCTAGACTCAGTTTAATCCTTCCCAGTTAAGCCAAACTGCAAAAGTTTCAACAGCTGAGGCCTAATCCACGTACTTGAAACTTTAATATCCAAGTGGAGCCTCGTTAGAAGACTAGACCTGGTTTCACTTATAAAAAATTTTTTAGTGTAATGGTAAGGTAAGGGCAAAAGATTATAACTTAAAAAAAAAGGCTGAGGTTTTGAATTCACCAACAGTTAGTTTTGGGAAAAGATTTCTCTACAACATCAATGGAAGTTTCTTAAATTATACTAAGGTTAACTTCACAGTAAAAAACAGCATGTACTATGGTTTAACAAGAAGTAAAAGTGGTTAGTGGCACAAGGACCAAACCACAGTTTGTCATTTGATCATATTATAAACTCTTTCAATCTTAACATTAGAAAATATCAACCTCACAAAGAGAAAACATGCAATTTATGAAAATATTTGTTTGTTAAATCACTTGAAGGAAGGATAAGGAAATGCTGGAGAGAAAACAGTCCTAAATGCCTTTAGAAGTTTCAAAACATTGCAAGTGTATGTAAAAACATAACGGTAATATTTTTCTTGGTTTAAAACACTTTATCTAGAGGAGTATTAAAAAAGAAGGTTTTAAGACTGACTCTTCTAAAGCTGTTCTGTTCTTACATATAATCGATGGGCACAGCCTCAGCTTAGGAAATATGTTAAAAAGGCATTTTTATGGATTATATTATTAGTTTTAAGGTACAGATCTTAAACATCATCTAAGAAAAAAGTTAAGACTGAAGAAATGCAACTCTGAAACTGAAAGTTGCAGAAGGTGTGATGTTCAGTAAATCTTAATTAGCAGTAATATATTACTTGTTAGAAATCACAGTGCTTTTAATCAATGTTTTCCTGTGACTGTAATAATCATAAACCCCTTTTTCCAATCAATGAACTCTAAATCTGCTATTTAGCCAAATATTTATTTTTAATTTAGCAGGATTTTTTTTCGGAATCATCCCATGGGTGGTCATACTGAACATACACTGGAAGTCTATAAGCATGGCAGTGTCATACTGAACTCCAGTAAGCATTTCAGTGCAATAGTATTTATGTACAGGAAGCAGCCTGTGACTTCTAAAATAATTTGAGGCTGGGAGGCGGCTTTGCTTGAAAGAGAAATTTTGAGCAGTTCATTTTTATCAAATCTGTTGGGGGAAAAAAACCCTCAAACATACTTATTCATCCAGCTTACTTTAAAAAAAATAACGGATGCAAACCATACCATTCAAATCCAGCTACAGAAATGGAATTTCTGTATTCAACAGAAATATAATGCTGTTGTATTGGTAGTTAATTCATGAGAGTCAAATTGCAGTCACGCTAATTATCTAACAGACATTAAACTGGTTTAGATCAGAAGCCAAGTTTTTTTTAATCTCTTTTTATAAAAAATACCAATCCCAATGTCACTTTGAAAGCATGCCAGGTAAATGTCATTGTGCTTCAAAGACATTTACCTCCTATCTCTACAATCTAGGTGCTTGAGCCAGGGAGGTACTGAGCTCTTCCTGTGAGGTGGTGAATGCTCTCAACTCCCATTGAAGATAATGGAGGTTGAGTCATTCACACTTCACAAGGCAGCATGTAGAACAAATCAGAACCGGTAAAAGGAAAGCTCTTGTTTCCATTCATAAGGAAAGAACAGTGAAGGCAATTCAATGTTTATTGTTACCATGCAGCACAAAGTAGTAAATAATCTCAAAGCTAATTAAAATAAATCACACTAGAGTAAACTGCAATGTATGTGAAACATTTGTGTGGTGGCTAACTCTGACCAGCACTATATTTAACACACATATTTTGGAATATATGGTCAAATAATAAATGATGTATGCTGGTGCATCTGCTTATACCAATGCTAAAACATCCCCTTATTGTCTAAAAGAAGTTTAGTACTTTGGTGTCAAATAAAAGTGATATATTTTGCAATGTAAGGAAAAATCAAGAATATTAAACTCTGCTATTGATATTAAATGCCGTATGTTAATAGCATCACGTAATAGCAGTAGTAAAGAGGAGGCAACTACATCCCCAAACTCTGACATGCAAATAATGCTACTCTAACTTTTCCATGTTTTTAAAACCTAACTTAGCTGTTAGTTGGCTGCTTCTCCTTTATTTTTTCATGACTGAATTAATGGAGTGTCTTGTAACTTCATATATATTCATCTATCCAGCCATAGCTACCTCTGTGGAAGTCTAACCTATGGAAATGAAAGAAGGCTTTTTAGAAAGTATGTGGGCAATTTACTGCATTCCCCAATACTACCTGTTGTAACACACTGGCATATATAAAGTATAGCAATTCCTTGTTTTCTACAGAAAATGAATGTCACTTTTAAATGGAATAGCCAAGTCAGAAATAAGAAAGCAGTGAATAAAATAACACCTGAATACAACTGTATCATTAATTTTACTTGATAACACTGTAACAAATCAATATCAAGTACTGACAACACTTATGTAATGTTCAGCTCTATGTTATGAAACAGAAAATAAGTGTTGGTCATCACCCAAACATTAAAATGAAGGTCTGACCCAGCGGTGTAGCTAAGGCAGGTGGAGGGGAGACGACTGGGAAAGCAGCCCCAGTGCTGCCTCACAGGGTGGTGGAAAAAAAATAACTAGCTAATTAGCAGTGCCAGCTAATAATGCCACTGCTTTTGGCACCACAGCAGCCAGTGCTAACCTGGGCATTACCCAACTGCTCAGGGCATGGAGCTGCTTGGCTACATCTCTGATCTGACCCTGCCAGCAGATTCATATTTTCCCATTTCCAATCATAAATAAGTACCCAATTATCCTCAAATATTTGGATTTGCAATGGGAAGGCAAAATGCTGGGACAGCTGGATTGAGGAAACTGTCACATTATTAACAACACCCAATGTGCTTTGTTTGGAAAACTGAGTTTTGTTCATCAAGTATAATGGGAATCCATTGTATTCATAGCAATCAAAAATGGAACCACTAACCATTCTGTTACACAAGATAATCCTTTATTCTGAGACAATATTAACTTTAAAAAATTCCCTAAGGTTTAAAATTCATGTTTCTTCTCAGTTATAATTAAAATATGCTAAAAATAACCTCTTCTAGATCTTACTTTTGTACAAGTTAAATATCTTTTCTAAATTATGTAAAATAATCATTTAGCTTTGATTGTTATGTTTGATCATATATTGTTGCTGTTCTTTATTTTCTAGTAAGAGCAATAAATACCATAGAAAAATACATTTTTCAATCAGATTTTTAGTATCAATAATTATCTTTCATCTGGCCTTTTCTTTCTCTGATTTACTGGGGAAGGGTGGGAATACAGTTAATCCTTCCTTACCTCCCTCTCGCTTCTGAGACAGGATCAAGGGGATTGTATGATTGTGTTTCCCAAACTCTGTGGGTTAATGAATCTTTGTCAATTCCTGGAATTTCTGAAGGACCATCACAAGACTTAACTGAGGGTGTGAGCAAGTGGTGCAATATGGGGATAAGCCACCTTGGTTTCATGGAACACAGTTGGGAACCAGGGCCTTATAGGAATTGTTTTCCCATCCCCAGTGACCTCTCTGTAATGTACCTATCTGTTAGCACACACTAGCCTTGTCTAATTTTGTTACTTGTAGGTGGCATTCTCTCTCTCATGCTTAACTTCATTAGCACACAAAATGGGTAACTCTAAGGGCACCTATACACAAGCAGGGAGGCTGCTCCGATGTTCTGTAATTGCAGCAAGTTGCAGCAGGCTCGGTTAATCAAGTCTGTTGGAGCATGGTAATTACTGCACTCTAGCAGACTCTAGCATCTCGTATATCAGCATCCCCACACTTAAAAATGAAAGCAGGAGTACTTTAACTAATGCTCATCGAACAAGCTCTTAAGTGCCCCTGCTGCCATTT